CTAGGCCTGAATTGGGTGTTTGTTATTTTGTTTACATTTTCCTTCACAAGGTCTTGTTAACTTTAATATCTATAAAGGGTCCCTGGTGTTTTGTGTCCAACTTGCAAGATTACAGTTGTATATAGTGTTGACAAACCCATTTATAACTGTACTTAGCCACAGACAGATCTGGTACACATAACTTTGTATGAAATTCCAGTCAATGTAACTAGTAATTGGGCCAGCCATGCTACTCAAACACTAGTGTCTGCATCCACTCGTGTGTCATAGAGACCTTGCAACTAACTAAAGTGGACGATTTTACATGAACCTTGGCCTCCCTAAAACTAACAACAAACTTACCCTTTCAATGTTTACTATATATAAACATATAGAGCTTGGACTCCCTGAAACTAACAACAAATCCTTTCAATGTTTACTATATATAAACATATACAGCATGGCCTCCCTAAAACTAACAACAAACCCTTTCAATGTTTACTATATATAAACATATAGAGCTTGGCCTCACTAAAACTAACAACAAACCGTTTCAATGTTTACTATATATAAACATATAGAGCATGGCCTCCCTAAAACTAATAACAAACCCTTTCAATGTTTACTGTATATAAACATATAGAGCTTGGCCTCCCTAAAACCAACAACAAACCCTTTCATTGTTTACTATATATAAAGATATAGAGCTTGGCCTCCCTAAAACTAACAACAAACCCTTTGAATGTTTACTATATATAAACATATAGAGATTGGCCTCCCTAAAACTAATAACAAACCCTTTCAATGTTTACTATATATAAACATATAGAGCTTGGCTTCCCGGAAACTAACAACAAACCCTTTCGATATTGTAAAGTGTTTATCATCAAATTTCTAGGCTTCCATTCTGGAGGTTAATATCACAGAGTGCACCCTGTCTAAATCAGAGCCTTAATAATCCAGAAATTTCTATAACATGTGAAGTTTTACTGTAAACTCTGAGTAATATTCCAATGTCTACAAATCTTGAGCTTACACAATTTATTCAGTCAAGGTCAAATCAATGGCATATGTTCTAGTCAATTAATACGAAGATATACAATTTAGAAGTTAAATGAACCCATATAATCTGACAAACATCAATTCTCCATGGAAACAACTTCTGAGTGTTAAGTTCTGATTTAAAGGGTAGGGATACTTTTGGTATCTTTTAATGCTTTATTGATGGTTTTGCACCCTAGTAACAGCTTTTAAGGTCATAAAAAGATAGTCAACATATGATGGGGGCACGTAAGGGCCACTTTAACTCATTCACCCCTGAAGACACATTTGAGCTCTTCCAATTCAAAGGTTGGAATAGTTCATTATGAAATTTCAGGGGTGAACAAGTAAAAATATCATGGTCTGAAATGTCACAATACAAACCTGCACATGGAAGCACGACACCTAATCTGGTTGTATTATGACAAGAGCCTAAACAGAGGTACCTAGGGAGACACTGGCAATAGTAGGCACTAGCAACATAACAGATACAAGTCCAATAGAAGTGTTGCGATGTTGAGTAACAGTATTTTTTAGCAGATACACTTCACATCTCCGTTTTAAAACTTGTAACAATAGATTCTAAACCAGAATAGATGGAGGCTGGAGGTGTTGCGATGTTGAATAGCAATATTTTCGAAATGATACAATTCATATCTCAGTGTTCAAACTTGTAACCATCGGTTCTAAACCAGAAAAGATGGAGGTCGGAGGTGTTGTGATGTTGAGTAGCAATATTTTCAAGATGATATATTTCATATCTCCTTGTTCAAACTTGGAACAATCGATTCAGAACAAGACAAGATAGAGACTGGAAGTGTTGTAATGAGGGCACCAGATCAATTTGATACTGATCTTTGTCCCCATGGAAAGACCATAGGTGAAAACCCCCATAATAGGTACATTTGTAATTCAGACGAAATGAATTTTTAATGATGTTGAGACTTACACTGGGTGTTTTGATGTCACTCTTACTATATTTATATTGCACATGAACAGAATGTATTCTCTTACGTTCCTATTTTGTTAGGCATGAAATAGAACAAATGGGACAGAGATAATTGAATGCTGTGTGTAAATCAGTAGTCATTCTACACTGTTCATTATTCCCCTCATTCCTGTAATAGATCATTCCGTATCAATGACTGTTGAGCTCTTCCAATTGGATATGGGGGTTCAAGTGGATATGGGGGTTCAAGATCCTTATCAATCTTTAGCATGGGTAACAGCAAGATATCCAGTTACACATTACAACTCACCAACACAGCTAGTCCTATTTCTAGCATGTCTAACAATGACTGAAGGCAGGCAGACTAGAATTCTTGGTAGTGTTTTCACAATTTCAGAGCAAAATGTTGTTTTGTCTATACATAAAAGTTACTTTTTACAGAATCACACAGCCCTTATACCAGTAACAGAAACTGGACTCATTGAAATAAAGTCTAAATCACTGTACTTTTCTGTAGTAAAATCTTCACAGAAAATATATCAACCATTGAGGATTGAATCGAGAAAGATTGGCGAGAACCGATGCCACCAGAACAAATATTACATATGCAGTATATAGGAAGTTATTTGGTGTAAGCTCTTGATAAAATCCTGTTATCAGCTTGGGGGCTTTTATCACATTAGCCAACACACCATGATGGACAGTAGTTTTCTTCACCACCGTCTGAGTCATGGCTGTACTGGGGGACCTACAGTTTAATAACTTCTATTGTCTACTTTACTTACTAAGCATAAGTTGTGATAATATTATGAACGTGAAGCTATAGCTGTGGCCCATAGACCAGTCCGAAACACGCACACAAGTAGCCACAGGATCCCCTTCCAACCCCATCCCCTACCCAGTCCAGACCATTCAGAAGATGACACAGTCCGACCTACCAACCCCAATCCCAGCCCCAACTTTGTCTAAAACACGCACAAGAAGCCACATCTCACCTTCCACCCTCATCCCCTACCTAGATTTAACCATTTAAAGAAGTGCCCCATCCCCAACCACCCCATACCTAGTCTAAAAACACGCACAAGAAGCCACATCTCACCTTCCACCCTCATCCCCTACCTAGATTTAACCATTAAAAGAAGCGCCCCATCCCCAACCACCCAATACCTAGTCTAAAAACACACACAAGACGCCACAGTCCCCCCCCCCC